ACAGTTTTGCATCTCTAAATTGATCTCTGTTCCAGCTACCTGTCAGTCAAATTGCACCTGAGGGTCAATCCTCTTTCTTCCTATGCATCTCATCAATTGCACCTTGAGGGTTAATCTTATTTCTATCATGTTAGACTATCAGACTGTTTCTCTATTTATAAAGTATTTAACAACTTGTTAATTCTTTATACATAAATAGTAAACTCAAATGCTAGAAGAAATTAAAGGCTTACAACAAGTTTCCACTAACTTATTGTACATACATTTAGCTCCTGATCTTTATTCTCAAGGAGGATAACCAACAACTTTGAAAGTTGTTTATCCAATGAAGTGTTACGACCAGAATTCCTGCCAGACTCCGGGCACTAACTTATACACACCCACACCCTATACGCACCAATTGTCAGTTTACCAGAATTCCTGCCAGACTCTGTATGTCAGACTTCTCTACGTTCGACTTCATTACATTGTGTATCAGTCACCGGAATACCCACCAGACTCCATCCCTGTCTATGTCCGACCTTGTCCTGCACATCAGTCACCGGACCCTGCTCGGAAAACCCGTCATCCCTCTAACAGAGCCCCATTCCCATTTTAGTCAAATGACCTGTCATGATTCAGACTCTGCTCCTGCTCCATTTCCCATTATGGTTTATGATTTGTCACGATTCAGACTCCACTCCATTCCGTCCTGTTCCTAACACCAAACTTGGTGTTTACTATTCTTGTTTCATGTTTTGCTAGTTTCATTTCATCATTACTGGATTTGGTATGTCATTCATTCCACGGTTTATATAGTCTGGCAGATGTTGTACATGCAATCCAGTCAGAAAATCGGCTTAGATTCCCCCCCAGTAATCTAATACATTTTCTGCTCTAAACTCCTACTTGAATTACACTGCTCACACTAGTCGGAGCCCATGGGCTCTGGCACATCTATCTCTCTTATTTATCTCGACTCCTGACCTCTCAATGATCAACTGCCCCATGACCTCCAACTTATGACCCCTCGACCCATGAACCCTGCCCAGACTCCCCAGGATTCCTGTCTGCCTGTCTGAAATTGGATGACACGATCTCACGAGGGCACAGCCTATAAGCTGAAGCCAAGTCCTACCAGATATTCTGTGGGTTTCTCTGGAAACCACCATGTACATACCCTAACATGAAGTATATATATATATATATATTGTCTGCTGTAAAATTAATGTTTTATCAAATTCAATTTATCAGGTCACACTAAAGAATGGAAAAATATTAATATTCATCCTGTATCTAACAAAAGTTAGTGTTAAGCATGGGGCTTATGGGTGGGTTTTGGGGAAACCCATAGATATTCCGGGAAGGACATGGCTTCAACTTATGTGCTGCACCCTCACAAGATTGCTGTGTCCAACTTCAGACAGGCAGACAGGGAACCTGTGGGTTCCGGTGATGGTCAAAGGGTCAAAGTAATCTGAGAATAGTTGAAAGGTGGAAGAGTAGTCAAGAGGTTGAACAGTTGGAAAGTTGGAAAGCCCATGGGCTCTGACAATACATTAGTGTTGTATTCAAGAGATACAAGGTGGGTAGTCCTAAGTTGAGGTTTAGTGGCTAAGTTGATTTTCTGATCAGATTGTATGTACAAAATATATCTAGACTATATAGGCATAGATATCTATTGTATAACAAATCTGGCAGGACAAAGGGCAAATGAATACAGGCAGGCAAAGTACATACTAAGCGATGGGGTGGGACAAACACAGGTGACAATAGCTGATCTCAAAACTGGCTTAAGCACTGATTGTGGATGAGGTTCTTGGAGGAGTCCATGGATTGTGACTAGGTGCACAGGCACAGGACCATATCAAGAGTGGGGTTCTATAAGTGTCTAGGGGTTCTGGGTAGTCTGGACAGAGTCCAGTGGCCAGTTTGTACAATAGAGAGTATTCAGCACATACATATATGAGGGTTCTGGTTTCTGGTTGTAACAGTACCCTCCCTTTAAGGATGAAGTCCCATAGAGGCTCTAGAACTGGGTAAAGTTTGTCAGTTACACATGTGTCAAGATGTCAGGTGATCTGGAAGGTAAAATCCAAATGTGACAATCCTATAAGAAAACTGAAAATTAAAAATTTCTTCTTCTTCCATACCCCCATCTTCTTGTTATGGGACCAAAACTCACACCTCGTAAACCAACCACAACAACAGCCGGGCCGTCCATGGGGGCTGTACTTTGAGTGCCTCTGACCACTGCTCAAATCCTTGAGCAGTGTGAGGAGCAGCAATGCCAATGGGAGGAGGCTGACAGGAAAGCCAAGGAGGCTGAGGAGGAGCTCAAGAGGGAGTATCAGGTGGCATTGGTGGCAGAGAAGGAGGCAGAGGAGGCAAAAAAACTCTGGATGGATGAAGCAAAAGTACAAGTCATCAGGGATTGGCCTGAGTCCCACAAGGTGAAAGACATGTTAAGTTGCTGTTCTTAGACCTATAACTTTCCATTTGTCTGAGTAGGTGATGGTTAACTTGCTGTAAACAGATGAGTACTACAATACATGACTCATCCTTAATAACTGCTTACTAATATCCCCATATGGATCAAGTCCTTGCTACTTGCTTACCCAAATTCCCAAAATCTAACAGGACATTCAGTCTTTCCTTGGATTTGCCAATTTTTACTGGCAGTTTATCCACAATTATTCAAAAATCACTGTCCCTCTTACTTATCTTACTTGTAAGGAAACTCTGTGGGATTTCACTGATATATAAGTGTTACACAGCTTTCAATCTTTTGAAAAATGCTTTTTCTTCAGCCCTCATTCTTTCTCACTGGAAACTGGACTTTCCACTCATTGTTGAAACAGACACCTCAGATTATGCACTGGGTGCAATTTTGTCTATTCAGGACTCCAACAGTGAAGTGGCATTTCTTTCCTGGACTTTCACCAGACCTAAGCTCAATTATGATGTTCATGACAAGAACTTCTCACAATTTTGAGGCTTTCAAGTGTGGTGACACTATTTGGAAGGCACAGGAATCCTGGTTGATGTTGTCATGGACCACAAGAATCTAGAATATTTCTCAGCCACAAAACTTTTGACCCACCAGCAAGCCCAGTGGTCTGAATACCTGTCTGCTTTTAATATGGTTATCCATTTCCAACCCAGCCACCTTAGCAGAAAACCTGATGCTTTGACTAGATGATGGTGTTATGATCCATTCCTGGATATTTCATATAATCCCTGCCTGTTAAGTGCCGTGTCGGGAACTTATTCTGGAACTATCGGAAAGTCACTGGGAAGTCGGGAACTATCAGATAGGGTCAGGACATCGGCTTCAGCTTATGTGCTGCACCTCTACGCAAACGCTCAAAGTCCTTAATTTCAGAAGTAAGGCTTACGATGGAAGATATGGATATTCAGAGTTCCGAAGAGTTCCGAATATCGAGCGTACAGAAAGATGGGAGGAGGAATAAGAAACTAAGTCGATATCAGATCTAAGGTAAAGTACAAATTCGCGGAAACTAATATAAGTCTACTCATTATTGTACTACAAACTAAGACCATAATAAGATGGAAACGGAAGTGTTCTTAAAACAGAAATACAATAAGACATATTAGGGAGACAATATTCCGAAACAGGAATATAACAAACAAACGAGTGAATACTTGTCAACGGACAAATTACCAAATGTGGAACAAGGGAAGAATGCGGATGATACGGTAACTATTAGTTGGAGATTGGAAGTCAGATATTGAAACATCCGGGAATGGGTCGTAACACTGCCTCTGGAAACCCATCAATTCCCAGACATTCCGAACTTTGTCCTTGTTCTGTATTTGGTAACTTGTCTGCTGAGAAGTATTTATTTGTTTGCTTATTATGTTCTGGATTTGAAACTCCTATCCTAATCTGTCTTATTGTGATCTCAATTTGGTACAAGTACCAGAAAGCCTATATTAGTTTCTGTGCATTGTACTTACACCTTAGATCTGATATCAGTTAGCTATCAAAACGGAACTATTCAATTCATATATCACTTGACTAAAGAAATGATCACAGATATATTGACCAAGCCACTTTCCCCGTCCATTCATTCCTATCACACCCAATGTCTAGGGCTTAGTCCTTCAAAACTCAAGGAGGAGTATTAGGAAACCAGTGTTGAAGAACTAGGCACACAAACAAAATTGAGACAATGTGTCTCGAAATGATACAATAAGTTCTGTTTGATTTAAATCTCCTTCTGAATGTACTGTTATATACGCATAGTCTGGTAAGAAAAGTTTCTCAGTGATTTTATCGACACTGAGAGTACATAGTCATATTGTTTTCTTGTTATTTCAAAGTATAACTCATTATGTACGTATATGTTGGAATAAAATCTTGAAGCTCGCAACAATCAGAAACAAGGACGAATGTGATTTCCGTTCGACCCTCTGTGTCTCGTAGGAGGCAAACGGATAGCGTAAATACAAAAATCTATACTAGTTATATACGCCTTGAGAACAATAGACGTATGGCAACAAAAGGTTACGCTGAACAATGGGGTGGCAAATTGCCGGTGTGGCACCTTATGCATGCTCGCACAGCCCTATATTCTAACAGTATATTTAGTACTATAACTGCTATGAGGTATCGTACAATACAGCGATTTTATCGACGCTGAAAGACTAAAACTGCTATTATATCTATCATGATGGTTGAGTAGGTCGATGTTTGGGAGCGGAAACTGGGCCCGATAACTTCTGCGGACAATAGGAGTCGGAGTATCGCAAAGCAACACTGGAGGAAGTGTAATATAGACATGCGTAGACTTACCAAGTAGCATCTCCAAAAATGATATACATAGTGGTGTCGAAGTTGCACCTGACATCCTTGTTTTAGCTCTGATTTGTTAGCCAAGTTCCTATGCTAGTTCCATGCTTAAAACTATCTCACGCGACGGAAGAAAGAGATAAATATCTGGTTCAATAAGAACGCTTGGTAAGAAGGAGTCCGTGACTTAACGGAGTAAAAAGACTGCCTCTCACAGGGATCGAACCCACAGCCTCCAGACTCTTGCTGGGTCAGAGGGACTGTAAGAGTCTGATGCTCTACCATTGAGCTAGCAAGGCATGATTGATAAAGTCTATATTCTAACAGATACTGAACAATGACACCACCGTTGTAAACGTTCTACATATGCATGTTTGGTACTTAAATGGCTAGTTTCATAATGGTTAAAAATATTTCACGCACTTGGAAAAACGAGATATCTACCTGGTTCAATAGGAACTCTTGGCAGGGAAGGAAGGATCGCATGAGTTAACGGGGTAAAAACATTGCCTCGCGCGGGAATCGAACCCACAGCCTTCAGAATCTTACCCGGTCAGAAGGACTGTAAGAGTCTGACGCTCTACCATTGAGCTAGCAAGGCACAATTGATGGGTGCTTACATTCTAATAGAGACTGAATAACGACACCGCCAAGGACTAATAGACCTTACGTAACCCAAAATACGCAGCGACCGAGCCTAATGCTCCTAAACCCTCGCTAACCTAAATCCCCGAAACGTCAACAGCTGCGCCATTAACTTTCTTTATACAACGAGCCCAAGGAGAATGAATATAAATTTTTGTTTCGAAAAATAACCAAACTCGGGGCAAACTACAGTCTGTTTGGAGAGCTGCTCAAGTTACTCTATGTCGTGCAGTCGGCAAGAGTGCCGCTTTGGAACTCTTGCGGTTGTACCATTTCAGGGTGACATAAATCTAAACGTTGAGGGAATTTCAGACTCAACTACGATTTTCCAAAAGTGAAATACGGCCAGATCGGCCAGATGCGCTTTTACACAACATAATTTGGAAACCATAGACAGGTTTATGGATCGGATGTGAGTACTCACTCGCATTCTTAAATAGCGCGACCATACGCACTTTTGGGAGATTCAATTCGTAGTCGAACATCAACGGCGATCCTGAGAATTTTCACTAGAGCATCTGTAGCGGGTTGGGAAAGCTTGTAGTGGCATTAGCGTCGCCCATAAGTGGCCAAGTTCAAAACATACCTCGTTTTCAATCACCGCTACATCTCTTCCTGTCGCCGCAGCCAGTTCACGAGCTTTATTCTCCACAACTCCAAAGCCACCCAATGTCTAGGGCTTAGTCCTTCAAAATTCGAGGAGGAGTATTAGGAAACGAGTGAACTAAACGCGCGAACGACAATGTGTCTCAAAATGCACAGTAAGTTCTGTTTGATAAATCTCCTTTTGAATGTACTATTATATTCGCGTAGTCTAGTAAGAAAAAGTTTCTCAGCGATTTTATCGACGCTGAAATACTAAAACTGCTATTTTATATGGTTGGGTAAGCGGAAACCGGGCCCCGATTGCTTCTGCGGATAATAGGATCCGGGGTATCGCAAAGCAACACGGGGAGAGCAAGTGTAATATAGACATGTGTAGACTAACCAAGTAGCATCTCCAAAAATGATATTAGTGGTGTTGAAGTTGCACCTGGCAACCTTGTTTTAGCTCTGATTTGTTAGCTGAGTTCCTAGACTAGCTCCATGACTTAAAGTGATAAAAATATTGCCTCGGATGGGAATCGAACCCACAGCCTTCAAACTCTTACCCGGTCAGAGAGACTGTAAGAGTTTGACGCTCTACCATTGAGCTACCAAAGCATAACTGATAGCGCCTACATTCTAATAGATATTGAACAACGACACCACCGTTGTAAACGTTCTCCATTTGAATCTGCTACTTTTTCCCTCATTCTAGACTCATTTGTCAGTACACCTTAATTTTGTTGCACTAGTATATACAGTAACAAAGAGATAAATTCATAAGGCTACGTCAATAGAGAGTATTTGCAATTAATATATCTTGGGGTGCGAACTTTTAACTTCCATATAGTTCTTTCTGTTAGAATTAAGCTCGTGAGAACAGAGAGCAATAAGGTTCCGTTTGTCTATTTGGCCGTAAGGCAAACGAATGGCTAGATACATGGACTCTAGGCTGCTTATATGTATCTGTTAAACAAAAGGAATACTAAAATAGAGAACAAAAGGGGAGAACAAAAGTGGAGAGACAAAAGGCTTGACAATGGTGCGCGCAAACCTTTGATTACATAAGCAGAATGAACGCGTAATCAGCTTGATAAATTCCAACACTTTCTGCATATGCATTTTGGTACTTAATAGCTAGTTCCATAATTCTCAATGATATTCCACGCGCTTGGAAAATGAGAAGTATTACCTGGTTCAATGGGAACTTTTGGTAGGAAGGGAGGCGCGTGACACGGCTCTCTTGTTCCGTGACCACCACCTGTCTGGTTGGGGCCCCCAGTGCTCGTGGTGAGGGGCGGAGAGGCGGATGACAGTGAACAGGTTTGGGGGCCTCTGAATTCACTGCTCTGTCAAAGTCGGCAGCCTTCAGCCGCGCACCAGTGTCGTCTGCGGAACGTCACTGGCACCTACCAACCATGACTGCTGCCCGGCAGCGGTCTACCCTTCCTACCCACCCCCGACTCCAGCATTCACCTATGCACTAGCAATGCAAGACTTCGGTGTGCCTGCAGCCCTTGTCGACGCCTGCTAGCAGGATTTCGGGCTTTTCTTGGGGCTTCGGCCCAAGGCCTCAAGGCCTCAGCTCTATACCATGTATATATCTACATGCCCCCCCTTTGCTTACTAAAATTTCTTCCACGCACGTAGCTCACTCGGGACTTTGTACCACCGTAGCATAGTTTCTCTGGGGGCCTTTTCACCCCCTAGCCGCAGTTAGCCATTGTTGCTTGAAGCGGGATACAAATATATCAAAAAAAACAAAAGGGGGGGGGCGTGATTTAACGCAGTAAAAATATTGCCCCGCGCGGGAATCGAACCCGCAGCCTTCAGACTCTTACCCGGTCAGAGGGACTGTAAGAATCTGACGCTCTACCGTTGAGCTAGCAAGGCACAGTTGATCATAACTACATTCTACCAAATACTGAACAAGGACACCACCGTTGTAAACACTTCTCCATTTGAGTCTGCTACTTTTTTTCTCATTCTAGACACATTTGCTAGTACACCTTAATTTTGTTGCACTAGTATATACAGCAACAAAAAGATAAATCCATAAGGCCAAGTCAATATATCTTGAGGCGTGAACTTTTAACTTCTATATAATTCTGCATGTACATGTTTGGTACTTAATGGCTAGTTCCATAATTCTTAAAAATATTTCACGCGCTTGGAAGAAGAGATATATTACCTGGTTCATTAGGAACTCTTGGTAGGAAAGGGGCCCCATGGTTTAACAACCAAAAACACCGCAGCCTTCAGACTCTTACACGGTCAGGGGGACTGTAAGAATCTGACGCTCTACCGTTGAGCTAGCGAGGCATGATTGACATTGCCTACATCCTCATAGATATTGAACAACCACACCACCGTTGTAAATGTTCTGCAGTTGAGTCTGCTATTAGAAATATTTCACGCGCTCGGAAAAAGATATACATATATCTGGTTCAATAGGAACTCTTGGTAGGAAGGAACCCATGATTAAACGGGATAAAAACATTGCCTCACTCAAAAACAACGACAATTACCAAGGACTAAACAAATAGACCTCATGTAACCCAAAAAAGGGGCTACTTGCCAGTCAATCCCATCAATATAAGAAGCTGGAGCCCGCGGCGACGCAAAAAGGTTGGTTGCGACTTGCGAAGAACGAGCGAGGACCGATTTGTCCCATTGGGGAATATCATTATGTCGTGCTGTTCTCTTGGCGCATACCATTATATGATACCTGTCTTTAGTAGTGTAAAATTGTTAAGTCATTAATATTAAAGATTCGAGCAGATATTCCATAGACAGAGGTCCGTTATGTAAATGGAATTGCTCAATATTTATCTTTGTCCATATTTGGCTGCTAAGGCCAGATGTTGATTCGGACAAGTCGTGGCATAACGACATTAAAGTCACCTTAGGTTCTATACAATAGACTCGAGTCCACCCTGGCTATGGACCATCGATTTGCGGGCGTAATATACAATATCCTTCACGAGCCAATAAAGCAGTTCAGCTTGAGATGTATATGCCGTTTTCAAATGCTGCCAGTGACCTTCAGGGAAACATTAACTGACCGCCTCTAATGTCCTGGTGTTCCTTACACGCTCTACAGCTTTCCTGAAAACAGCAGTTAGCCATGTGGAAAGGATGATGTTCTGTGTTCTACGTGATACATTAATGCTCCTGGTCTAGTACTGGAGGCGCGGGCAGTTTATTACCTTTTTCACATTTTCGAGTTTCCCTTGTCGTGATTATCTCCAAATGGCGTTTTTAAAGGAGCTGTCTTTTTTCAAAAGTATTGTTGTAGCTTCAATTAAGTCTCCCATTGCTGCCACTGCAATTGTGACATACACAACTATCCATCCACTCAACCAGTTAATATGGGTTTATTCGCGAACCGGTGGACAGTCGAGGCACAGTTAGCTCTACTTTGTCAAATGCGATCAGTAAGTGACTTCGATCATAACTATTTTGCGCCATACATGTAAGCACTTCGGAGCTGATTCCATATCAAGGCTTTCGGGCGTTCAATTTTCCGATACCGATTATGCCCCTTAAGAAGAAGTCTCGAGTTTCTTTTAGCTCATCTGACGATGCTTCCTATTTCCTGGCATTGCCCGATATATGGTAAATCTTCATAATTGATGATCCCCCAGAACGTAACTATAGTACATTTTAAGAGGATTTTCCATTTCTCAAAGATCAATACCGGCAGGGTGACGTTTCATTTGGGAATATATGTATTTTCAAATTTCCCTATATGGCACTGCCACCTGCTATCGTTCTAGCCCCGAAAAGCCGAACCAAATTCTATTGCATGTGGACAGGCGCTAAGTGGTATAATACTATAATACCATAGGGTCCTAAAGAGAAACATCTGTCAAACCTTTTCGTCCCCACCCCGTGACCGTTCCCTGAAGCCTCATTCGGCTTGCCCACTCTCCTTTAAATCGACACTCCTTTTCATATATTCTTTACCCTACAATGCTCTCCTTAAAGGCTTTTTCCGCCCTCGTCGTTCTCGCAGCTGCGTTGGTTGAGGCCCAAACTCCTCCGTAAGTTCCTCACGTGTATAAAG